GGAGAGGGAAGGGCCGTATTTCCTTCTAGCAGTTTTGAATTTAACCACCCTTTCTTCTAATGTTATAAAAGAGAAGAAAAGCTCCTCTTCTTTACCACACGGTATTTTTTTTTTATCATCATACCTCATTCATCCCTTTTTAAGACAGGCAATTCCAGTTTTTTCAAGCTCTTGTTTATAAGAGCTTTTCAATATCTCTAAGCATTCCAGTAGCACTTCTCTAAACCATCTCTGTACTGAACACAGTACTCCTGATGAGGCCACACTGTTGATTTATATAAAGGAACTATATATAATACTGTCCAGTCACCAAGCCATTCCTTATACACCCTAATATCCTGTTGGGTTTTTTTTGACTGCAGTCTATCTTTAATCAGGGATGATACGTTTCATTTGGAACCTGTAAGCTTTATAAACATAAAAACTTTATAAAAATGTTTCCCTATGTGCATCGCTTAGTATGGATCAACTTTAAAACCTGGTTATTCACCTAGTTTTGTTAAGACTATGAATCCTCTCTAGTCTTGACTAAGCTGAGTAATTTAAACATTGGACTATGTGAAGATTTTGCTATCTCTCTGCTCATCACCTTTCCAGATAATTTATAGGTACATCTAATATGGGACTCAGCACAGAATCTTGAAGCAATCCACTGTTAACTTTTGGCCATGAGGGAAACTGATCAGTTTATCATATTCTTTGATTGTGTGTCCTAACTAGTTTTTGAACTAAGACAAAACTGAAAGTCTCATTCCATTTCTACTTACTTTTTAGGGTGGTTTGAGAAGCCTCTTATGAGGAACCCTACTGCAATGCTATCTGAAAGTCTGAATAAAGTCAGCTGATTCCATAGCCACTACATTTACTGACAGATTGAAAAAAAATCCAATAGCTTAGCGAGACATGATTTTCCTCTGAAGAATCAATTTTGGTTATGTATATAATAACTAAGTGAGATCACTCCTAGAACCTCCTTTAACCACCACCTGCATTGTGTATGCTACCTTTTCAAGGAGTCACAAAATACTTTTCCAAGTTCAGGTTAA